CGTACAGTTTGTTTGGCGTAATCCGAGTGCCACTGATTGAGCTCATGTACGCCACCGGACACGTGACGGGACAGTAGCCGCTGTTGATCGGCAGGGAATGCATGTGCGGACCCATTGGGACAGAAGTTATAACTGCCGGAGTCTTCAATACCGGGAGTGCCGTTTCGGCCGACACTCTGATACCATAGGAATGATTGATTGAGTCGATGGGTCGTACCGTTCACTGTAATGGTTTGTATGGCACCCGACTGTGCGCTCACTTGCAGTGTAAATGATTTGCCTTTCATTTCAATAATTGTATCATTTAATGGTTCCGTTTCTCGAGTTTGATGTTCTGTTTAAATAACAATTAAACTAATTTTAAAATATTTATAAATTTCTATTTCACTGCAGAAATACTCGTCATTTTAACCATTTGTGTTTTAAAGCAATTTTTAAGTTTACTAAATCGTATACAAATATTACATTAAAACTACTTTGTATATCAAAATTAATACATAAAATATATTAGCTACCGGTCACCGAAGACATCCAATTACTCATATACATTTATATGCAAAATATATATTTTCAAATCTTTACATTATATTTACACTGTAAATTTTACAGTCAATAAAAAGTGTATTAATGCAAAAAAATATATTACCTTTCTTTACAACTTTCTGTTTATCTATAAAATAAGTGGTAAATCCGAGGGCCGGTAATTGGGCGTCAAATACTAGTTAATGTGTACCGACACTACCCTTCCGTTCGGGCAGTTGTCTCACGGCTTCGGACACCGGGAGTAACGCCACGCGCAAGACATTACGACCGTTGGCGTTAAACACACGATACACGCCGTCCACAACCGGTACCCTCACGTACTCGTCGACGGGTCGAGCGATCGGGTTATACACTGTGACCGACACCTTCTCTTCGGTCTCCGTTATTAAACAATCCGTTATATTAAGTGTTGAACAAAACACTTGCCGTACGGACACCTGTTTTGTCACATCCGGCGATTGGAGATAACTATATGCCTGTCGTACGACCCGAACACTGGCCTCATAGCCACTGGCCATACGACTCGCGTACTCGTCGGCCGTAGTCTGCGGTGACGTACCGGTGATGGCGTCGTGATGTGTGAGCACTGCCTGTTCATTACGGGCCTCGTCTAGTAATACACGTGTTTTCTTCGGGTCTAACTGTGCCAACACTTCCAGTTGTTTACTCGCCTAATTAGTAAACAAAGCAGAGTCTAATATTACTTTGTTAGATTTAATTTGAGAATTAATAAATTAATTATACAACAATTTTAATTTTTACTTCTCAATGTTTGTAAAATATGAGTTATGATAATTAGTAAACTATTTTTCATAAATTATAATTTTTTATTTATTCTACATAATGATTCACATGTATGATTGTGAATTAGGTTATTTTTTATAAACATTTGTGTAATATTTTATTAAAAACTATTAAATTATATAAAATCTTACCTGGAGTAAATTATTATTAATGCGATTGTTATATTTAAGCGCCGGTCGATTACTATAATATCCGACCCAATAGTTAAAGTAGTCAACGGCCGCCCTCTCCTCATAGCCAACCCCTCCCTCTGCAGTCGACTGCCTGTCATTCATGGCCTACACGTAACAGTCGGGCGACGAGTAGAATATATCGACCGAATCGGTATAATTGGCCCTAATTTCCCGTATGAGGACATCCATATTGCGGAACCAACGCTCGGCCTCCACGTACTGGAAGTCGTCTCCCATTGTCATTATCACGTGTCCGCTGTGGCCGTACGCGCGGTCCCAATCACGTGCTACGCGTACAAAATCGGTCACTTTGGCCACCAAATTAGTCTCGTTTATCTCATTTACTTTGAGCTCAAATTTGAAACCATTGGGAGCGGAGTAGTGGTCGTGAAGTACTGTCGAGAATAT